AGGAGTCGCTTTAAGATTTCCAGAGGAGCACTTACTTTATTAAGAATCAGACAATTATCCTCAATCACTAAAATTTTAGATTTTGCGATTTTGAACTAGAAAGGAAATGAGCTATGCACCGCGACCTAGAATTTATTGATTTTGACCTAACAAAGCAAATATAACAATTAGCTGTAATGGCAGCACCTTTTTTGTCTGGTTTAGAATTTACAATTTTTAGTGCCATTTTGCGTTAAGTCGCCTAATTAATAATATATACACTATTTTGTTAATAATTTTAAATACAAAGAGGAAGAAGCGTACAGTAGAGCATGAAAAATCGCTTTTGAAAAACTTCTAAAAGCTTTCAACACAAAAGCTGTTATTAAAATGCGAAATTAGACATAGTATTTGGATTTCAAATTAAAAAAAATGCATAATAGAAAAAATTTATAAAGTTAACAGAATATTGCTTTTACAGCTTAATTTGGTTACATGTGTAAATTACGCACAGACTTTCAAACTGGGCGGAGTTTCAAATTTTTTTAGCGGAACGCATTTTTATGTAAAAAAGAACTAACACAACAACTCATTAAACTATTAAAAGCTACAAGGTAAAATCCGCCTCGATTTTGACCACACAAAAGTCAACCTGTGTGCCAACGGCGATTTTTAATTATCTAGTGTGGCCAATATGATTACGGGGAGGATTTAACATGGCACATTTTCCTACTATGTAAACGTGTGTGCTGCCACCGTAAAATGTTAAACTGTCGGGTCCACCTCATTTTATCTATTAATGTAGTTGTTGTTGTTATTGCCATGATTGCCGCAGCAGTTGGAAAGAATTTATGTAAATTTTATAATGTCAACAGGCTGGCAACATTTGCGCTTTTTGCTAGTTAAACAACAAATCAACTTTACCGTTCACCATAATTAAGCAGTATGGGGATGAACGGTAGTTTATGAGATAGTTGTAATCACATTAAGTGATATTTAACGCGTCAGCGAACTTGCCTCAGTCTGCTTTGGTCTTAATTTTACTGAATATTAACTTTGATAAATTATTTATTCGTAAATATTTTCTGTTATTTCCGAAATAATTTTTAATTATGATTGAGCTGTTATACTAGACAATACCAGTCCTAATGACACTCTGAAAATGGAATTCCAGGAATTTGTATCATGCGATAGTAAAATGTTGCTTCAGCTTTTGATGACTTTCGGCAAGATATATGTATGTATATAAATATAAATAATAAATATACGCATACAGAAAGAGCAAAAACTTTGATGAAGTGCATAGCAGCTAAATTGTTGTTGTCTCTCTTATAAGACGATATCGAGAAAATTCTCAGCTCTTCTAGCTGTCAAAATTTATATTTTGTAAGCTGTGAACGCTTGAATTTCTTTCAAAAAATATCGTCATTAAAAAAGTTATTGCAAAAAATAATGAAAGCTCAACGCTCAAATTATTACTCGTTTAAGCAAAAAGCTCACTGCGCTGCAATATGCTGGAGGAGCAACAAAGTGATGCATTAAACGATCTATTAGTAAAATGTAAAAAGCTTTTTACTTGTTTAGCTGATCAAGGGGCGTACCACTTTTATTCAAACATGATACCATTTATTTCACAAAATTTTCTTACTTAAAGAGTTTTTTCAAAAATAAAAAAAATACGCAAAATATTTCATAATCTATTTTGAAGGCGTGTGAAGTTGTTGCAATGGCACTTCTCAACTAATGACCTACACTTAAAACATTTCCTTTATGCTATACAATTTACGACTCCGGTAATGGAAGTTGATTTATTTCACAAGGGCGGCAGAAGAAAAAGTGCAGAACATGGAAAATATGCTTGGACGCTTATCACCAGACATTGATGCTTGACATGGAAGTCGACGCCAAGTAACGGTATTTGTCAGCATCGTGAGAGTGATAAATGCGTATATATTTATTTGCAAAAGTTCAATCAGCGCTTGTCAAGTGTGAGTGACGTGTTTAATAAATGCGAAGAGTGGAAGGACACTTCAGAGAACAAGCCAAAAAAATTATTGGTCATCTGTACATTCTTACAACGTATTTGTTTGTTGGTGGGCAAAAATTTAATATCTATGGCTTAGATGAGCGCAAATGCAGAAATTAATATTTCATAATATGCTGAAGGCATTATTTCTATTAACTGTGCTTTTTTGCATTTTTAGTGTATATTAATACATACATACATATAAATACAGGGTTACCTAATGAGTTTTACATTTAAAACTTGGTGTGCTTTCACAGTTTCAAGTATCAAGAAGTATTACCGTTACTCGTTGCAGTGTCATTTTCTAATTTAGTTTATTCCTACTACAATAACGGCGTATTGCTGGCACGGCCAATTTACTGATTGTCATCGTTAGCCTTAATGTTATCAATGACGTTATTAACATAAGGGTAAGCAGCAACAATGACATAACGATGCCACACACACACACACTCATAGCGGCGACGGCAATTGCTGACAAGCGCTCACAAATGTATATGTGTTTGTATGCAACTTTGCGTTTGTGTAGCGGCATTTCCTCTTTCATGTACAGCCAACTTGTCGCGCCTTCGCCTCTGCTTAACGCATCACTTCTTAGCAGCGATACTTGTGTGCGCGCCTTCTTCGTGCAGTCAGTGGCCATAACAACACAACCGCCGATATCGCCTTAACTTTGTTAACGTCAACGATAAGTAAAGTGTTTGCATAGCGACGGCAAGGGAGTGTGAGTTTGGTAAATGCGTTACTCGGCGGCCCGTCGCCGGCTGATTGCGGGAATATATCGTTGACCGCCTATGTCGTGTTCGCTATTCATCTCTCTTTCAGCGCCATTTCTTTGTTTGTTATCAGCCCATCCGTGGTTCTTATTTGCTTTTAGCTTCGTTTTCGTTTTAATTTGTTGTTTTTTTTTGTTTGCTTTCCTGCAGCCCTCAATTTCCTCGCTTTCAGTTTGCGCTTTTTCTTTTCAAAGGACATTATTTTGATTTATGACGTGCCATTGATCTCATACCGTTAGTTCGAAAGCGCTTTTATTCGACGCGTGTGTGGATGAGCCTCATTGTATTTTCTACTTGCGCGTGTTTGATTTTGACAGAAAACGCCAACTTTGGCTTCAAATGAATGGAACATTTTTGAAACTCTTAACAAAGCATTCTCCATATAATTTCAATATTATATATTATATTAATATTAATGCCTTCTTACTGAGTATTAAATATTTTTTAACACAAAAATATATACAAACTATTATATATATGTACATTTGAAGTATGGCAACAACTTGGAAAAAAATTTCAACTCGCATAATTGATTGATTTTGGCTGTTAAATACAGGGTACGCCATTCAACTTGAGACATTGTGATTTAATTTGGACCTTATTGAGGAATTTGTATAACTTCTTTAATTCAATATTAATAAAGTAAACATTTTAATGCTCTTCTTTTTGTCTTTTTTGTATCACCTTCACCAGAATAGTAATGAGTTCTAGACGCATGTTTACCTTGAGTTCATCAATGGTCCGAAATTGCAGGGCATATTTTGCTTTCATATGGCTGCTGAAAAAGATGTCAGGTAGAGTCAAGTTTGGAAAACTGAGTGACCTGTCGATATCACCTATTTTCGACTCTACCCGTTAGGGGAGTATTTGAAAGTATTTTTAGAGGTAGGACAATCAGTCGGTACTTTTTTTATGTTAATTGAGAAAAATTCAAGTCAATCATCAAAACAACTTATAAAGTGATTCCAAAATGCTAAATGCAGATTCTGATCAACTCTGTGACATCTTCGGTTAGCTGCTTCCACAGCGCCTGTTTGTCGATGTGCCGCCTGTTAATGATTTCTCACTCACTTGAACAACACAAACGGCTGAGTATATTTAACATATTTCACTTGAAAGCCCAGCAAAAGCTGTGGCTTTGGAGTTATATGTACCTGACTCAATTAATTTTATCACCTATATGTATATCAATTTTATTGTTGTATTTTATTTTGATGTTGAAGAGATGTGGAGAAATTATCGCTTCTACTTCTGGAAGTGCGTACACTTGTATACAAACTGCAAACTGCTCTTGCAAATCGGAAGCAGTTTTTCGGTGTTCATTTTATGGACGCGGCATATACACTTGACACGTCCGGCAAGAGAGCATTCAATCACCAAGCGAATAAACAATCTACCCACACACACACACACACACTTCCGCACATTCGCCTGCATAAACTGCCGTGTAGAAGGGTCTGCATTCACAACAACAATAAACAGCTCCAGCGTCGCGCAAATGCAATATCCTGTTGTTTGTCTTTCCCTTTTTTCTGCGCTGCTGACACAGCATTGCTTGGAATTCAATTAAAATTCAGCTGCCGCAATCCACCTGCCTGACCGTTGCATAGCGGCGCGCTGCTTTTGTATGTGGCTCCATTTTTTGTCGGTTTGGCTCTTTCGCAGCTTTTGTTTTGCGGCTTTTGCTATTTTCATTCAGCCGCTTCGGCTTCGGCTGCCACTTTTTCTGTTTGCAAATCTCCACTCCGATTGTCAACCGGACAACCTTTTGATTGCAATGGGAGCGCTGGGAGCTTGAGGAGCTGCATTGCGCTTTTATATATGTTAACGGTATCTACTAGCCGGCGGCCTGCGGAATTTGTTGCGTTCAAGTAAATTACAGAATTTTTGTATTAAACGGACAACAACAACGCACTTATTATGGCTATGCTCTGAAGCGCCTAGGAATGCTGTAGGAGTGAGGGTGTTCAAAGTTAGTATGAACACCCTCACACATGCCTCGAATGAGTATTTGATTTGGTGGAAAAGCAAAGTTTAGTACTTTAGTACTAAAGCTAATAAATATTTAGATGCAATAATTTTTGTTAAAGAAAAAAATTATGTATTTTTGAAAAAAAAATTATCAATTTTTAAATTTTGTCTTTATATTAGCCTTACGAATTTTGGTATTTTATACAGAAACAAAAAAATATTTGGCTTTTGCCTACCACAAAACTCACCTGGTATGTTTGCATGTGTGGTTTGCAACAGCAAAACCAGCAGCAATATGATAAACTGATGAGTTTGCTGCAATCGATTTATGCTGTTGCTGTTTTTAGTGTTGTTGTTGCTTCGGCAACTGCTGCTCGCCCACTTGTTGTATGCCTGCTCTCTGCTGCTTTGGTTGATTTTTGTATTTTCATCAATTGTTGGGATTTTCGTTGATTTGCGGTTTGCAAGTGATTTCGAAATTGTTATTGTTTTTGTTGTTACAGTTTGCTGTGAAATCGCCAGCTGGTTGATATTGTTCGAATTTTGTGTTGTTGTCGTGTAACAATCGTTATTATTGTAGTTGTTGTTGTTTGTGGCGAACGATGATCGCGACCGGCTTAATGCCTGACACCACCGGTAAGACCCAGGGTCCGCACACACGCCCATGCCTCTGGTCCCATAGTCAATGCCGCTAACGGATCGTCCTCATTGCAGCGGCGTCATCTGCAAATTGAAAAGGGGTAGGTGTTGAGGTTAATTTATTACAAAAAAAAAAAGCAAATTATGAAAATATTTTTATATATTTTTTAATTATAAAATCCTCATTGAAGGGTAGTAAAGATTTTAGAACAGTTGCTAAAAGTCGGCTTCTATATGTGATATTGTCATTACAGTTGTAACAACTATTTTCTTCCAAAAACGTTTTCTGACTTAGCTCAAGTGAAATTTACTGTTGAATTGCCTTTAATGCATCAATCTCTGTCTGCCGTATGTCATTGCATGATGTGTCAGAAGCAAACAAATTGCTTCACTTGTCGTAGACATATGTTATATGTGTGTATGTATGCGTGACCGCATATCTTTCTCTGCCGCCCTTCCGTCCTCAAAGTATATTTTGTTGTCGATCAGATATCTGTGTTGGACAAGAAAATTGAATTTGTGGTTAACTCATAGCTTTGTCAAACACACACTCACACACACACACGTATGTTCTCATTGCATTTGAAATGCAAAAATTCGCTCGGCCTCTCGGCCTTCGGATTGCCTATTGGGCAAATTTAAAATTGCAATTTTGTGTTTGTTTTCTCGTTAACATGACATAATTCTAAATGCAAATACAATGTTTATGCGAAAATGCAATAACGCACTGATAGCTGGAAAATAGATTTGGATTTGTGTACTGATAGCCATAGTAGATAGAGGAATGAATTAAAGTTGGAAATACTATTTCACAGTGCATGTGTGTGTGCTTTGATTACCTCGCCAATCAGTAAATAACTCCATATATTTGTAAAGCAATCATGAAATGTATTTGCAAATTTTTAAATAACTATGAAATATTACAATTTTTTTTAGCAGAGAACTAAGTAAAGAAAGCAAAATGAGAAATTTATAATTTATGCTGGGTTTAAGGTTTCCTTCATGCTCTAATATTTGAGGATCGACGTAATTGAGAAAATATATAATATTTTAATTGAAAATTTATTTTACAGACAGTCAATGGCTTCATTTACTTTAAGTTTTGGGGCAACCTGCGGACATAGAGTGTTGTGAAGAATTCCAACAAGTAAAGTTATGATTTTAGCGAAAGAAATCAGCCAAAAATAATCACTTTTGCGGAATTTTGCTCTGTATGGTGTATCTGACTGCATTTAGATCTATTTAACTTAACTATTCGGAGCAAACATCCATACGATAGATGGTATTGGTGTCAAAATACTTCTTAAAAACATATTTGCCTTCAAATTTTGTATATGTACATTAAGACCAGAAAGTTTCCGGAAATTGTAAATAATAAAACGAAAAATTTGAATCTTCATTAATATTTATTTTGTCGCCTTCAAAATATGAACGAGTTTTTGGTCTTAAAATCGTTCACAACTACAGCTCGTTGCGACGTTTATGACGAATGTTAACGCGCAAACGCATCAAAACACTCAAATAATAATCATTAATGACCATCGATTTTAGTGACCAATTATATAAAACTTAATTTACTTTTCACCCTAGGTTGTCAATTTGTGCGGATTCTTATTTAAAGTTGCCATAAAATTGTAATAAAAATAATTTCCAATGGTTTGACTACAACTGTCATTAAATCTGACATACTGGCAGCTGCACAAAATATAGCAACCGCAGCAGCTGCCAGAGTTACTTAGTAAAAATAAAATGTTTAAAGTTTAAAATATACAGAGGCTGTTGGAAATATGAGTAAATTTATGTTCTCTCGCCTAGCTTTTAAAAATGGTTTAGAATTCCGTGAACTTTACCGTAATGGCAGAATTATGACACAACTACCAGACATACCAGAAGCTTATGATTTTTAAACTCGCTGCTGACTATTTCATAGAACTAATTCTTGCTGATATCCCTCGTTCAAAATTAGTACAGACAATAGTTAAAACAAAAAAACAATAAGTTGCAGCAAATTTTTGTGGTTTTTGGCTTTTATTTCAAATATATAACTTTTCTTATTTTCTTTGCTAAAATACTTTTAACAACAAGCGATTCACAAGTGGCGCCACGAAAGTAATTATAACAGCAACCTCTTAATTTGTAAGGCAAGTTGCATTGACGCCTACATACGTAAAGAAAGTTAATTTTCCCACTAAATCCACTTTCGGTATTATTGTTAAGCAATTCAAGCGCGCTTACAATTTCTCAAATTCCCAAGTTTTATGCCCATAACAAGCGTTCGATGAGTATTTGTATAAGCTTGTGTTTTCTTTGTCTTACTTTCCGCATTACACGTTGTAAAATTAGCAGATTATTTCTCACGCACACACACAAGCCGTACCCTGCTGCCTTTAACTACACATCGACACCTGCTTTGAGATTGCGCACGTCGATAAAAAGTTTTGCATTTTCACACTACAGCACAATAGCAAAGATATCCGTTCTGTGCGTCGAAAGTTTGGCATTGTCAACGCCTAAATGTAAGCAAGCAATACCTGAACACGCATCAATACGCTTACACAAATAGGTGCAAAAGATTTACCGTCACAGCATGTTGGCGCCTTTTTTGTTGTATCTCTAAACCCATATGTCTATATATGTATATACACAGCCAATGCAGGTTCTATGCGCTGCAACTGAAGGCTTAATTTAAGTGCCTAGAGTGCGTTTTGATAATTTTTTTTTCGGAGTTTTTACTAAATCTGAAATTTCATTAAAAACATTTTGATTGTTTTTTCATCGCCACATGCTCTTGATTTGCTTGAGTTTCTTAAAGTAAAGGCACATTTCAGAGTACGAACAATGCTGAAGGTACTTGCTAGGCTCCCAAGCGACTAGAAAAGATTCTCTGGTGAAGGCCATGTGACCTTTTTGAATTATTTGAAAATTAAGTTGATTAAAAGTATTTCGTTATTTCTTATAATTTTGTTTTTTATTTTATATTTTAAATTTTTTTTTATATTTTCAAAATTCGGCCCCTAATGGCGCGCCTATTTGCATGTTAAACTATTTTAAATTTTTCATTACTGCGCTTTTTTGGTCGTTCCAAGCATGTGATTAAAGCTTTTTAACAAGGAGCTTTTGTGAAGCTTTATAAACTAAATACTGAAAAGGCCGATTATAGGTTATGAATATGAAAAAATTATTTGAACCTGGGCTCTGGCCTCTTTTTTATTGTTTTCTCATGTAAAGCTCACTTACCTGAATGGTGTTTGCCCTATGTGAAACTATTAATTATCGTACATAATTTCCCGGCCTTTTGCTTAGTATTTTATATAAAATTATTTGTTTTTAGCATTATGTTTTCTTAAATACTCTACTCCCAGCAATTGGCGCAGCAATTTCGAAATTGATTTTGGTAATCATATGCCATGAATTGATATTCTTTCAATTAATAATTTAGGAACAGTCGAAAATAAAACAAGTATAATATATTTGGTTGAGTAGTGATAGCGTTGCACAAGTCTAGTCATAACAATCCCCAATTTTCTACTGATTAATTAATTTAGTTCTACAGGTCAACGTCACCTGCTGCAATGCTTCGAAAAGTTGTCGAATTTGGTTTACATTGCACACAACTTCGACTGAATTCATTATAAAAATGCAAATAACCAAAGAGTATACAAAATCTCTATGGCAGCTGGGGCAACTGGCAATTACAATGAACCGCAACCAATCACTGCAATCGTTCGATCAACCGACTAGTATGGATGCAATGATTTTGGCACAAACTTCACTGGCAATTCATTAATGCTGCCAACGACCCAACAACAAACTGGTCAACCGATGGCCGATGTAAGCTGCACTCACAAACACATACAGCCATTTGTTATATATTTTTATATCCAGCTCATAGCTGTACAATTTATATCATTTCGAATGACAATACCGTTAAAATGGAATTTCCTTTTTCCTCAATTGTTGAATGATTTCATTTGTAAATCGCTTTGTACAGGATATCCTGATGGTAGCCGAATTCAACATAGTTCCACTCTCTTAAAATGCGCAGGAGAGAGGACGGGACGGGTAAGGGCATGGAAAGTGATGGATATAGAGTGCTCCAAAAAAAGTTGGCGCAGCTGACAAATGTGCATGTACATACACACACATATACATAGGCATACATTTAATGCATGCTCATACATGCTGGTGCACTTTTAGGTGAGTGTGTTTGCTGTTGCTTGCAACAACGTTGAGAGCATGCCGACTTGCCGAAATTGTGTGGCTACGCTGATTGCAGACAAAAGCGTACCGGCACACACATACACAGATGTACCGAAATCACATCGGCATGCATGCAAACCTCCAGCTGTGGCAACAACAACTGCAACTCCAGCAAAGAGCATACTTCATGAAATTTATTCGCATACATGCACACCTTTACGCACAGTCCGGCAGAGCAACGGTAGGCCCAACGGCCACTGTTGCTGTCAATGGCAGCGCAATGGTTGCATTTTCATCAATTTTTCGTTCCTATTTTTTTTTTTTTGGTTTTTGAATGCTGATGAATGCAAGAAATTGACCAAGGGCTATGCTAACATGGAAACATGTGATTATAATATGTTGGTGTATTTATGTGTGTGTATGTGTTGCGGTAAGATTGACAGTGAGTAGTCTGCGGCTGACATTTATGCTCCAAATGCCGCCTTCACCAAAATTTCCCCCCACCGACGAAAGGACTTCACGATTATATTAATATAAAAACGGGTATATGTATCGGCACACATAGCAACACATGCACAGGTGCGCATCGCACACCGGAATTTTAATTTTGTAACCAGAAAAGATTTGGTGGAAAACCCGAAAACAACATTGTTGCAGGACTTCCATTGGCACACACACACACACACACATACACGAATATTCAATATACGTTGCTGCAGCCTGTCAGTTTAGTTTATAGTTTCACGCTTTGATTGCTTGGCAAATTTTGCATTTTTATTGAGTGCACTCACACACGCACATTTTCATGTCGACATGAAGTGCGCGCTGTGGCTGTTTTAGGAGCGGCTACTGTTGTTGTTGGCATTGTGCATAGTTGATTAGAG